AGATTAAATCATTAGAAAATCAAAAGAGAATATAAAATATCATAGCATAGTCATATAAAGTTATGTTTTTCACCCTTAAAACAAACTAAGATAATTTGTAGTAAGTATACAAATAGATTAAAAAGCAAAATTAAATATCAGTTAAATAAAATGAACAAGTAGGTCAAAACATAAATCAATTAAAAAAAAAGAAAAATCCAGCTGAAAAAGAAGAACTTCAAGCAGGCACTAGCGTTAACACCTTGCACTCACTCACTCACAAGGTGCTTGCCTAGGCAGCGCTTCATTGGAATCCAACGCCTAAGGCTAATAAAGGCATCGGGGCCTGCCTCGCCTGGAGCCCCTAGGTGAGCACCTAAGCACCTCTTGACAACATTGCTTTTCTAGGTGTTAAAATTTAAACACAACTTCAATCAATTAGAAAAAGTTGAACCAAATGAAAGCTAATGAAAAATAACTTTCAACTATGAGTCATAATTCAAAAATTAACTTCCATAAATAAATTGAGACAGATGAGTTCAGTTAGATGTTTGATAATAAATGCCACAAAATCAATTTTCTAAAGAAGGAAGGTGATATAAGTTGAAGTTAACAAATTAAGTAGAAAATTTTAACGTTAATCCCGGCAAAATTTTGAATCAATTTTATAAAAACTCATTAATATAAGTCGAGATTTATTTTTAACCAAACATGATTATGACTTTTCTTTGAATCAAGAATTAAAAAATAACTTAAATCAAATTGCAAAAAATGATTCAAAACAGAACATTGGTCAATTTGTGAAAATTTTCAACTATATCTGTCTATTAGAACACATATCTCTGGTCCGATTCAGTACAGAGGATGGAGAACACACAGAGGATGGAGAACACTGTCTTAACCTCAGAGTAAGGGCCCAAAGGCGAGATGGTCATCAAGGGTAGAAATGTTTTCAAGGAAATAAAAACAAAAGTCGAGCAAGACGGCAGGGTTCTGTTCTAGCAGTTAAAATATTTTATAATTCCCAATTTTAAGGTGCACGAGTTTGACGCTAGATCCAAGTTTAGATGCAAACAATTCTTTGGTGAAGGTGACAGATCAAACTTCACCTCTAACATTTTGTGGAGGGAGGGCATTGAAGGTTGATTGGACAAAATTCTGCAGATAATTAGGTTGCTTGAACACCTTCACCTGAAAAGAACCAACAAAAGAAAAAAGGAATTGTAACAACCGCAAGAAACGCACAGGATAGATTTAACAAAAAGATAATTGAATCGAATAAGAAGGAACAGAAAGAAATTAACAAATCATCAGACTGGGATCGGAAGCACAAAAATTAAATCCAGATTCAAGATATCTGAACGCGAAAAATCAAGCAGATCAACTGCTAAGAAATGGAATGTGACAGATCTGAATGCAATTGAGAATCAATCAATAGTAATGAGAGAAAAAAAACAAAAAAAAAAAAAACAAACCTTCTTGCGAAGGCCAGAAGTTCCAGGTTTCTGGTCTCCGAAAGGAGTGGTCACCACTCGTGAAACATTGAATAGCACCATTTTTTTCTAGCAGGGAAGAGCGAAAGGGCTGTACTGTGACTTAAAAATTTTGGTACTTGCTCAAGGAGAGGTGAGGGAATGGGTATCTGAGGAGGATTATTCGGTGTGGATGTACGTAATACTCGCAGTTGTCGTTTATTATTTGGCTCAACGGTTGACACTTGGCAGTGGCATGGTGAGAGTGACAGTGAACGATTCCCGTGGATCTTCAATGAAAAAACCCCGTTTTAATTCCTAACCTATATATCTATTGTCAATTAAGATTTAGGACAATGTATTTATTCAACTCGGTCCCGAAGGTTTCGAACATTTTCAACGGGGTCATTTTGTCAGTGTCTGTTCATATTTTCCAGTCAAATGTGACTGATTTATGAAATACAGTGTCGTTTTAATAAATTTGATTTAAAAACAGTGGGAATGGATGAAATGACTCAATTGAGAAATGTACAAAAGATTTGCGACAATGAATTCAAAATCAATTTTATCCTCGGATTATATTTTGATTTAATTTTAAGATATAAACATATTGAAATTACGTAAATTAACCTAAGTTAAATTATTGCAAAACTCATAGGATAATTTTTTAAAAAATATATATTAAAAAATTTATTAAGATTAATTTAATATTAAATAATAAAATTAATTTAAAAAATTATAATAAAATCGAGTAAATTAATCGAACTCAATAACCAAACAGCACTTAATTATGGAATTCAATAATTTTTTTGAATTTGGTAATGCAAATGGTGTTTTCTTCTCTTTTCCTTTCTTTTTTGTCATAGCGATATTTCCTTAAATTAACGTTGATGAATGTTCTTACATCTAGATATTGAAATCAACAAAAATATAATATATTTCTTCCGCATACAAAATGAAATAAGCCTACTTGCTACTAGAAGGACATTCAAAAACATAGAATGAAACTCTGCAAATAAATTGAAGATCTCGACACTAGATCTGAAGAAATTGAGAGTTATTCTGCTACAAGACAGACAGCTAGTACAATCTTTTTCAATAATCCACCAAAAGTATTAGCAAAAAGAAGACTCAGACTAAGGAAATTTATCTAATGGATTGTAAATCTTGAATTACTGTAATAAAAAAGAAAAAGGTAGAAGTATTGTCACTGGTAGCAGAAACTAAAAAACAAATTGAAGGAAGAGAGAGAGATTAGCCTAACCGGCCACTTTCTTCGAGTCAGAATAAAATAAAACTTCTATAGCATATAGGATGAAGAAACTCATATGTGCATGTGTAGAGATCTAGCATGTGGGCAATATAGCATCTAAATCAATAAAACATCCTCTTTTAAACCCTGCCCCTCCATCAATCCTTGCCTTTAGGGAGAAGCAACCGATGGCCTAGCTACATTTCCTTCATCCTCTAAGTGGAAGATGTTGGATTTGAATTAGGAAGAGGGTGTCAGTGATTTACAAGTAGAAGTCAAAGATTCACACAGCCCATTTAAAAACAGGATTTGTAATTCCCTTGAACAGACTATGAAAAAACAGTTTAAACCAAGGTTGAGTTCTTCCATTTTCTTTCTTTACGATAAGATAAAAACCAGGAGAAAGAGGAGATTCTGTGCATTGGAAATCTCTCTCTACTTGGTGCATGGTATTTGAGCGACGAAGCAAGAGTGTTTTCTTATTAACAACAACGAAGACTCTTAAATTAATGTGATTCTATTTGATTTGGCCAGTGAAGATGGCATTTCCTTTCCGCTTACTGCCAATCACAGAGGTGCCTCGCTCTATCTGCTGGTGGGCTTTCTGGTGAGAAGGAACTGGTTAAGTTAGTTTTTTTTTCAAAACTAGCATAGCGGAAAAAATATTTCCCAAACTAGACTCGCGCCGCAAGTTGACAAAGAAGGACTGTTCAAAACAGCACAGTGATAAGTCAAAAGATCCCTATTTCTATCTTTGCCGTAGCTCGCAGGCTGGCCCCATATCCAGCAAAATTCAATGATAACAGTGCCATCCTTGATGTTTCCTAGTAGAGTGGAAGAAATGGGTGGTTAAGCAGTGAGAGAAACTGATCTTATATGTTCAGAGTGTGCTCTCCAAGGATTCTGATCCGCAAATTAGATGACCTGCGCGGCAGTACAACCATGAAGAAGGCTATATTTGCTGGGTGTATCGATGTGGTTTCCGCTCTGATGAATATCTCATCTGTTTGAGTTACCGAAAACAAAAGGCTTAATGTTACTGAATTTTTATCAATGGCACAGATCCCTCTTGATTTGCTAACCGCAATCACTTCAAATTAACTAAAACTATTCACACATTTGCTCTGTAAATTTGGATAGCAGTCAGGCAATGGCCAAAATCAAGCAGCAACCTTTGGCACTGATTTCTTTGTGGTTTATAATTTGGATAGATTGATTAATTGAAAAAAGGAATATTACTGAATTGTTATCACTGGCACTGATCCCTCTACTTGTATCAACTTGCACAAGACGGGTCAATGACTCGCAGAGGTTCGACCTGCGCAAGTGACTATGACGTGCTAGTTAACAAAATATTTTTTACCCACTGTGCTAGAAAAAACTCCGAAGGATTGTGCAACAAGCATCGGAAGCGATGTTTACTTTTTCGCTAGAAACTAAAAAGTTCAATCTGATTAAAAACAAAAAAGTTCGCAGAGAAGACGACTGTAGCATGGATTGGCTAGCAAAATTTTGGTTTTGAAATTGCTTTGGGAATCTAGTATTTTTTCTTTGCTGACTGCATCGTATATAACTGGAATTACATTACACCGCTATTCACATGTTAACAAAAGCAATAGCCCTAAACTGCGTATCTTTAGATAAATCACCAACAGTAAAACTGAACATGTGCGAAAAGCCATGCTAGCATAAGATCCAGCCCGATTTGAGAACACGCACTCGAATGAATCGACTAGGAGCGTGGTCAGAAGCCGGAACCATGGGAAGATACCTCGCTATCCAAAAATTGGAAAAAAGGATCTGCAGGCTCTTATTATAGCCTCTGCCACGAGTCACGATGAGGACCATCACACCTATCCAGACATAAAATTTCAAAATTCGTCAAAGTCGACCTTAGCCCGCCTAGTTTTTTTCTCTTGTCCAATTATTTAAAGAGGAGAAAAAAGGTGATAAGAATTATATAAAACAAAAGGCATTCAAGCATGCCATCCAAAAGTAACATGCTGGGCATATGCTGCATCAAATAAAATATAGCTGTAAAGTTTTGCCCGCAGTTTTTTTTTTTTTTCCTTGAAAAGCAAAAGCCTAATCTAATGGCGACATTAAACATTTGTTCACCGCCTCCTTTCATGCGTTGCTTCCTGAAGACACTCATAAATATAAAAATTAATTTTGAAGCCTTCAAATATAAAGAAATACCATGTGAAAAAAGGGGTCAGAATAAAGTTTCATTCTTTTGTTTTTCTTTTTCCCTTAATTTGTTTTTGTTCGGGGGGAGAGGGAGAGAGAGAGAGAGATAACGATAGCAAGAGCATACACGGCCACTGATCAAATTTACAAGGCAAATTAAATGAAAATTACAAAGGTCACATAATCCAACCTTCCCCTCCAAGCTCAACATTACAATACCGCTCACCACATTTTAATTGAAACTAAATTCAAAACTTAAAAGAGGAAAAAAAAGAACGCTAAAGCTTAAGCTACAACATCAATTAGTAGTTCCCTTGTCTACCTAAAAGAAAAGAAGTTAAAAAGGAAAAAAAAAAGATTAAAGAAACTGATTCCTATCTCTGCTTCTCCTCCCTCCCTTGCTCTAATTCCACTCAGCCAGCGACGGGTGCCACGGCTGGCTTCGCCTTAGGCGGCCTCCCCCTTCCCCTTCGCGCACCGCTGGGTGGACCACCGCCAGAACTCGCAGCGGAAACCGCCGCAGTAGCGTTCTTAGGTGGACGACCACGCGGCCTCCCAGTTCCAGTACTTGTCGTCTTCTTCTTAGGGGAAGCCACAGGCGCGAAAGGATCCCTTGGTTTGGGAGGGCGGCCACGTGGCCTGGGAGGTCCAGAAACAGTTCCGGGTGGGGTTGGAAGCTTAGGCTTGGGAGGGCGGCCTCTGCCTCTCTTCGGGGGAGCGTTGGGGTCAGGCTTCATGTAGTTATTCTTGACCAAAACAAGCTGACCGCTTTGCTTCATCTTATTCAAATGGTGGGAGAGGAGTGTGCTATGTGCAGGTGGCAGATCGGGGTGTGTTGACTCGATTTGTTTCGAAATTGATGTCTTGTTTGACCCTTCTTTCTCGTTCAATGCCTCAATAGCCGCCATAATCATCTGGAAACAGAGGGGAAAAACACATTATAAAGCAGACATAACTGGAAATAAGCAAAGAAATAATATCGATCGCCATCTCATGAAATTGTCACCTCAGGATACTGAGGGGGAGTGGAGGATTGTTGCTGTGACTGTTGTTGGGGTGGAGCCGGTGCTGGTGCTGGTGCTGGCGCTGGAGCTGGAGGAAGAGGTTGGGGATTAGTAGAATCCTCAGTGATGCTAGCCATGGAAACAGACAAATGTTTTCTAAAAGAGAAGGAGATTGAAGGAACTGTGTGTGTTTGGTGTGGAGAAAGGAAAGGGGGTAAAGGGTTGGATTTAAAAAGGAGGGGTTTTCTTGAGGAGTGGATGGAGAGGAAAGGAAAGTGAAGAAGGACGAGGGGTTGATGAAGGATCTAGCGGTTGGGGATTGTGTTTTTTGGTTTTGATCGGACGGTATCGGTTTGCTTAGAAGGGAAGGACTCGGATTGATGACCTGGTAGAGGGCTAGATTGGGGATTTTAGATTTATGCTATTTGAATTTACGATGTTGTCCCTGTTTTTTTAAATGGTGTTTCTACAACAAGGGGGTGTTTATTGCCTATGAAATAGAGCTGCGAACGTGTTGTATTCTTATTGGAGATAATAATCGCTGGGAAAGTTGTTTTCTAAAGCCAGTTAAAATTTGACACGAGTCTTGTAAGAAATCGAATAGTTGTTGAGCTTGCAGTTGAAATTGCACAAATGACCAGACTTCCTGCACCATCAGGGATCCGTGTTTAGTAATGGCAACGATATTCATATATAATTGTTTTAAGCATGGATATTATGCAAGAAAATTGATGAAATCAAAACTATATACTATGCATACAAAAATAAAGAATATGATACGAAATTGTGAAATTATGATTTTCCTTAAGAATACGAGATTCTTGTTCTTTTAAAAATGGGGATGGAAGGGTGTAAATGATAAAAATAAAAGAGAAAGAGAACCAGAAGAAAGAGGTGATGGGAAAAAAATTGATAAATGAGACGCATTAATAGAATTTTAACACATTACGCGAGTTGTTTCTTTGCCATAAAAGGAGAAGAAGAAGCACTCGTCCAAGTACGTACACGTGAAAAAGGAACGCAAGGTCGAGTAAATTTAGTCCCTTTTCTTTTTATTTTTTTGGATTAGTACATCGAGCAACAAATAGACAGAAAGGGAGGCTCTGTTTGGCTTGACGAGTAATTTGGCTGGCCAGGAACAAAATTTTGTTTGTCAATCATAATTCAGAACCAAGAGCGGTGATATATTCCTTATGCCCACTTTCTGTTCTTCCCTCCGAGATGCACGGAACCTCTTTTGCTTGGTTACATAAGCGTCCTTGTGTACTTCCTCGAGGACGAAACTAGATAGCCATGCCATAAATCAGTTATATTTTTTTTATATAGTAAAAAAAATATAAAAATACGAAATTTATTTCAAATACTGTGACACCACATTTTAATGGTGAGATAGAGATATTTCAAATTAGCTCATATTAACTTAGTTTGATTGAACAATCTATTACTTAAGTCATTAACGTATAATAACCTCATAATACAATTAATTAGAAAATTTAATTTTCAATAAAAAATATTTAAGAACAACAATTAAAAAAATCATATTTTTTAAAAAGAAAGTTAGCTTGAATTAATTCAGGTAAATTGACTAAACATGTAAATTAAGTCGTGAAAATGGAATTGCCTCATGAAAAGTAAAAACATAATTCACAACCAACCGGATTCATGACCCAAATCTTTAAAGCAAGATTACCTCATAAAAATGAAATTGAAAACAAATTATAAAGCATGTATCTCAACCAGCTCATTGTTAAAGGAAAAAAAAACAATTTAATAAAAATTGAAGAAAAAACTAAATCACACTGGGTTAACGTGGCAAATTCGCGATCTAAATCATGAGATTGAGATAACTTAATAGAAATCAAATTGAAAAAAAATCATGAAGCCTACTTTCAAACCAACTAAACTTATGACCCGAGTAATGAAAACAAAATTATCCTGTAAAAAGCAAATTAAAAAAATAAAATCATGAAGTCTAATTTCAAATCAGCTAAACTTACTATCAAAGTAATGAGAATGAGATTGCCCTATAAAAAGTAAATAAAAAAAATTATGAAGTCTACCTTTAAACTAACCTTTTGTTGGGCGAGGAAATCAGAAAATGATTTTAAAGAACAAAAAACCAAAAACAAAATATGGGTTAACCCCATAAACTCATGGTCCGAGTGATAAGAATAAGATTTCTCCATAAAAAGCAAATAAAAAAAATTACAAAGCACAACTTTATAATAACCTACTGTTAAATGATAAAATTAAAAAAAAACAAACAATAATAATAATAATTCGAGTCATTCTAGCTTAAACCGACAAAGTTACGACTCAAGTTATGAGATTGAAATAACTTAATAAAAAAATTAAAAAAAACCATGAAGCTCAATTCTGATCAACTAAATATCAAAGGTCAAAATTAAAAACAAAACAATTTTTTAAAGAAAAAGACCCAGTAAAAAGAGAGGGAAGAAAAGGAAAAGGTAGTATTACAAGACCATGATAACTTTATAAAAAAAATATAAAGGTTAATTCTTAATCAACTCAATGTTGAATGATGAAATTGAAATAAATATATTAAATTAAAAGGGGAAAAAAATGACTTGAGTTAACCCATGTTAACCTGCCAATATCTTGACTTGGGTTATGAGGAAAACGACTTGAATCAACCTTGGTTAACTTACCAAACTTCAACTCAGGTTATAAGATTACGATAACCTCATAAAAAGTAAATTGAAAACAATTGTGAAGAAATACACGTGTTGGTTTACATACGGAGAAACCATGTAAAAAGTATAAAAATAAATACTTTTATTATCCAGAAGGTGTAACGAAGTGTCTTTTATAAAATAAAAAAAAGGTTTATGGAGAAATGCATGTATTGGTTTGCACACGGAAAACCACATGTTCCTTGCTAGACCATGATATAAAAGATGACTGGGTTAACTTTTAGTTTTAGCAGCGTGCATGGAGTAGTAGATGACAATAATAATTCTTGTATAAACATTGTTACTGATATGATGAAAATGAATCAACATAATACAAGTAAATATCCTATCATAGATGAAGGACCTAATATAGATACGACCATATTTTTATTTTATTTTAAGAGATTCTAATGAACCATTATGGGATGAGTATATAAATCACAATAAATTATCAGTAATTGCATAGGTATCTACCATCAAATTAGATCACGGGTCGAGTGAGGCTGATTATAACAAAATTATAGAATGGGCTAAAAACATTTTACCTGAAGGAAATAGATTAAAAAAAAAAAATTTATGTTACCAAATCTATAATGAAACCCCTCTCTCTATGATACCAGAAAATTAGCATATGTCCAAACTTTTATATGTTGTATTACTTTGAAAATACAAAGTTAACCGAGTGCAGAACATGTGAACATGCTTATTATTAACTCGTAACTGGTAGGGAAATGAATTTTATTACACATAAAAAACATAAACACTTCTTAGTCACACCTAGACTATAAAGGTTATTCATATCTTCAAATATCGATGAGCACGTAACACGATGAATAAACTGACGGTGCATCTTTCTATGGCGAAACCTATAAATATTTTAACAGGATGCATATTTAGTTTTTAGTGAAATTACAAGACATGCATCTTGAATTATGTATATATAAATTCAACATGTATATATAAATTCAACTCATCTTGAATTATGTATATATAAATTCAACATGTATATATAAATTCAACTCATCTTGAATTATGTATATATAAATTCAACATGTATATATAAATTCAACTCATCTTGAATTATGTATATATAAATTCAACATGTATATATAAATTCAACTCATTTAGATCATTTGTTGCATCTTATCATAGAAAGCAAATTGAAATTTTTTTGCATAACTCTAATTCCAACATATCTAATGTTGAAGGTTGAAATCGAAAAAAAAAACACTAAATTTAAAAGATCGATATACAACCCAACATTAAAAAAAATCATGAATTATAACTCTCAAAACAATCTAATGTTAAAAATTAAAATTTAAAAAAAAATATATGTTGTTGAAAGGTAAGATTAAAGAAAAAAAAAGTAAAATAAAACACTATCCAATAAATAATATTTATTTCGAGAATGTCAATACTCTTTAGGGTTTTTTTTATTATTATTATTAATTGATAATGTTAATATGGTAAGTGTTGTTTGTATAGCCTTGATGATGTTAACATGGTAAGTGTTAATATGTTAATAATAACACGTTCGGTTTCAACAAAAGAACATCTTATCGCCACAACAATAATGTAAAATTAACGAAACACTTTAGTAAGAATTAAATTCCAGGGCTTCAGTGGAGAGACACATTGGCCTCCATGATACCAGCTATTCAAAACCTCATTTTCTCCTCCTCCTCTACCTCTCTCGTAACAGAAAAGGTCCAACCCTAGACTATTTTGTGAATGCCGTCTTCCATCTAATAAATAACTAGGAGTAATCACTATTGCTTATATTTAACCACTAACTTCCTGTTAACATTTACACACTAAAGGAAAGCCTACATTACAAAAAGAATAAGAAATAATTCCTATTAAAATATGCTTAGCCTTCAAGGGGGCGTTTCTCTCAAAGCTGAGGTAGACGCGGTGGCAGTATTAGTACTTGAGCTTGAATTAAATGTACGGGAATCAGATTCACCGAATGTTCCAGCAGTACCGAATGTTCCAGCAGTTGAGGACATTCCTCCTGGCCTACGAGATCTCCTATATCTAGAACCAGGAACTCCAGGTCTGCCTGGTTCTTCTAGATTGCTAGGTTTCCTTGACAACAGGACAACAATACGTGGCATATGCGGCCGCGACTGTGGATCACCTTGTGTGCATAGCAGCCCTATATGAATAAATGTTTTTACCTCTTCGGTGACTGCTGAGGATGCTAATTCTGGGTCCATAATCTCCAAACTCCTATCTTTCTTGTGATGCTTATATGCCTGCGCCAACAGCAAAACAAAGCTTTAAACCAAGCGAAATGCTGGAAAACACAGTAATAGAAATATATAATTCCACAGGTGCTTCTCCAAGTAGTAGCAGACAAGTCACTTCAGAACAGATATGCAAGGTTGCCCATGCATGGTAATTGAAAATAATTTGGGCACCTCAGCTTGAAACAATTTCCCAAAGCCAGCTTTGATTCACTACCATTCCATCGAATCCTCTAGGTAGGCCGTAGGCTCTTCCCAAATCAGCATATTTATACTATCTGATGTCAATTTGGATGTTATAGCTCTTCCCAAGATCAAACAATATTTACCTTTCTTTTTTCTTGGTTTACGCCCAGAAAATAAGAAAAGGTTTCTTATGCGAGAACACTTCAAAACTTAGTGATTGTGTTGCAATTTTGACTTTCTTGATGTATTATTATCTTCGACATTAAGTTATCTTTGGCCTATAGGATGAAAAAATAAAAAATTACCAGGAGCAGTGGGCAGAATTTA